CATTCTGGGCTCAGAAAACATCTCCCACCTGTGAGTAAATAACAAATAAGAGGATACCCAAAGCAGGCTCCACGTAGCCGGATTATTTACACAGCACGACCAGCGTGGGCCTTGGGCAGTGACGCCTGCCACCGTGCTTGAGAACCAGGTGCCAGCTGTGCCTTGCAGCGTGGAACGGAGGACAGGGTGACAGGGGAAGCGTTCAGGGTGTCCTCGCTCCACTTCTGGCATGTCTCCAGGAGGGGGGTCAGGTGGGGACACAAGCAGGTATGAAAGGACAGCGAGATGTCCCTACCGCTTCCTCCTCCACTGGGGACACGCAGGGCATCGGGCTCCTGAGAAGGACATCCCTCACCTGAATTTGCCAGAATGGGGGTACACAGGGCCTGGCCCCAGCCCCCATGGAAGATGAGGCCTGTCCTTAGGAGAGAAGGAGGGGGGCTATGGTGCCTGGGGGTGGGGACAGCAGTCCTCCCAGACGAGCCCCCCGTTATTCAGACACCGAGCCCTGCCTGTGCCCTGAAGTGAGCCTGGGACCGTGACTCCTGCAGCTCCTCAGAAGCTGAGCCCCAAGGGCTGGATGTTCCCAGTAGGAAAGCAGTGGCAAAAGCACCCACGTGGGGTAAGAGAAGGCTCCAGCCCAGCCTCTGCCTAACTTCGCTAGGTGGCCTTGGGCGAGGCTTTAGCCGTCTCAACGGGAAAGGCCTCTGGCAGCAGGGCAGCCAGCACCCTCTGGGTCTCCGGGACTCACTGTGACCGTGAGGATGTGCCAGCGATGGTCACAGGGCCCTTGGAGTCGGGATGGCATCTTGAGGAGACTGGAGGAGCAGCAGCCTCCTGGCTTCAGGCTGGAAGGTTCTGCCAGCAGGCCCAGTGCGTCAGACATGCCAGGAAGGGGCAGGTGGGGAAAACGCCCAAAAGGCCTTTACCTGCCAGCCAGGTGAGGGCCACACCCTGGCTGGGCTGGACATTCACGTAGAGCAGGTATGAAAAGAAAACCTTGTATGGCTCTGTCTACAGCTCGGCTGCCCGGCTGCCCGGCTGGGCGGGGGTGTGTTTGCAAGCTGTCTGCCTCGGGAGCCTCTCTGGCTCCAAACACTGGGGTTGCTGGAAGGCATCCAGCCTCCTTCCTGCAAGGGGCCTGAGCCTCCCGCTGGTCCTGGTGGGGCAGGCCCTGTGAAGCCCTCCTTCCAAAGCTCAGGGGCCGCTGTAACCTCTCCCCACTCTGAGACTTCACACTTTTCTCTTTGGGCCATTTTCTGATAAAAGTAGAAAGAAGCGGGCTTCCCTGGTGGTGCAGTGGTTGAGAATCCGCCTGCCAATGCAGGGGACACGGGTTCGAACCCTGGTCCGGGAAGATCCCCCATGCCACAGAGCAACTAAGCCCGTGCGCCACAACTACTGAGCCTGCGCTCTAGAGCCTGCGAGCCACAACTACTGAGCCTGCGCGCCTAGAGCCCGTGCTCCGCAATGAGAGAAGCCATTGCAATGAGAAGCCTGCGCACTGTAACCAAGAGCAGCCCCCGCTCACCACAACTAGTGAAAGGCCGCACGCAGCAAAGAAGACCCAACGCAGACAAAAATAAATAAATTAAATAAATTAAAAAAGAAAAAATAGAAAGAAGTGAGGGGAATGAAGATATGGAAGGTCACAGGGAGATCTCACAGCCATGGGAAAGTCCAAATCCCACACCCCCAGCAATGCCGTGGCCTCAGACAACCTCACGTGTGTGTGTGTGTGTGTGCGCACGCACAACTAGAAGACGCTGGCCTGAGGGGCACCTGCAGCGGGGCTGTCCAGAGGCCCTACACGGCCCCCTCCAGCCTCCCTCCCTTTCCCGTGCCAGGACGGGCAGGACATCCCGGTTTCACTTGCCTCAGCCTCCCCATCCGGCCCTTGGCCTCAAGCCAGTGGAAAAGCCATGTGGCCAGGTATGAGCGCCAAGCTCCCTCACCGCACGGCTCTCTGCCACCCGTGCCCAGTGACAAGGTCATCCTCCACCCGCCTCACTCCTCCAATTCAGTCAAGGCTGGACCAAGGCCACCAACAGGGGACACGGTGCACAGGGCTGATGCCCTGCTGACCCATCCAGTGCCCCTTGGCTCCTGTGAGGCCACTCAGGGCCACTCAGAGGGAGGCCCAGCACAGTAAGGACGCAGACCCTGCCCCTGCCCGGCTCACGTCTGGTGCAGACATGGGCCACAGTGAGCTTCAAACCTAGTGCCGCCGGCTCACAGAGGTGGCCAGAGGGGTGGAGAGCTACAGGGGCAGGCAGGGCAGCCCCAGAGGGAGGAGCTAGGTGCTGCCGGGTGACGCTGGCCCAGTCACCAGGGTACCAAAGTGCCAAGGCTGCTCACTGGCCCCAAGCCGGCTACGTCTACAGAGAGGCCCGTGCAAGGTGCCATGGAGATCTCATGCACCGAGACTGCCATCTGCAGGGAGCAGGGGGCGGTGCAAGGGCCCCGCTGCCCACCAGAAATGCACTAAGCGCCGATGGATGCGAGCCGTGGAGGCAAGCTAGGACCTTCTAGTGGCCACGTGAACAAAAACAAGAACAAGCAGGTGAAATTAACACACGGCATCAGGATTGCAACACGCAGTCAGTGTGAGATATCACGAATGAGTCTGTCACATTCTTTTTCTCCCACTAAGTCTGAACTCTTGTGTATGTGCACTTTTAACACGTCTCAATCTGGAACAGCCACATTTCAAGTGCTCCCCAGGCACCTGCGGCTCGTGGCTTCCGCACTAGACAGTGAGGCTCTAGAGATCGGCCAAGGGGCAGAGAGGTCCTCTGCCTGCTTTGACGGCACGGAGCCCAGCCTCCTGTCCCGCCACGCGGCCTCCCCCTCGGGTGGCTCCATCACCACCTAACCTGCACTGAGGCTCTTCTCCCTCCACCCTGCCTGCTAACAAAGGCAGATTTACAACCTCACAACATACAAATCAAAAGGTCTGAAATCTTAAATACCTCCACGAAAAGAGACGCTAAGCCCCACCCTCTCCACGCAGAGCCAGGTGGGGCTGCACCGGGAAGCAACAGATGTCACCAACAGCACCGGCATCACGTCCCCGTTGCTGAGGGCTCCCTGTGCACCACGCGCTAAACAGTACTTACCTACAGCATTTCCTCAGCAATTTAAAATGATGAAGAACGGTCATGGGCAGATGCCACAAAACATTGTTCAAGAAAAGGGCAGGTTGTGAAATAATATAATACCGTTTTTATAAAGAGAAAAAAACAAAGTATTATCCTTATATTATCTACACAGAGAAGGCAGTCTGGAATGATCTGGCCAGCTGCTGATGGGGTTTGTCTCTCTGGGAGACGGGGTGATGGGGGACTCAGAAAAGTGCCAACCCCGGTGGTGTGCGGTAGGACACAGCCGCCTGCACGCCCACCTGCCCATTCGAGGGCTTCCCGACTGTGTGTGCGGACCTTCCTCAGTGACCCAGCGGCCTAGTGGCACGCTTGGGGCCTGGGGCAGGGGCAGTACCTTCTCAGTTTATAGGGCCATGGCTTAGGCTGGGCCAGAAAGACCCCAGCTGTGGCTACATTTAATCGAGACAGACATGTTTTTCTCCCTAAGAAACCAGAAGAAGCAGCCCAGCGCAAAAAGCTACATGGCTCTCACTCTTCACTTCTGCCTCACCACCGTGCTCTCAGTTATGGAGGTGCCACTCCTGTGCTCATGGGTCAAAGGTGCTCACTGAGCTAGGCTGGCTACTGACGGGGCGGCACCAGGGGCCGGGCGGCACCGCGCAGCAGAGCATCAACCACAGGGCGCCAAGTCCCACTGCTCAGCAGGTTCGGGGGAAGCGGGCGCTGGGGACCTCGGGCTTCCAGGCTGGCCTCTGGGAGAGAATGCTGATGTGGTTTCGAGTGGGGTCTCCCTCACTCCCTTAGGCCGGAGAGAGCCTAGGAAACCCAGGAAACCCTTGTTTGAGGACCTGGGGAAGAAAGGAGGTCCATATTTCAGGTGTGCTGGGGGCTTCAAGGTGGCCTCTGGCACCCTGGGAGGTCCAAGAGGTGGATGGAAGGGACTTTCTGGCCCTGGACCTTAGGAGTACTGAGACTTCCTCACTCACCTTGTGTCCACCTACGTGACCCAAACCCAAAGGCCGCGTGTGTCTCTCACACAGGAGCGGGCCTCGGAGGGAGGGTCAGGCCCTCTAATCTATTCCTCTGACCCCGTCTAAGCAGACCACCCAGGACTGATGTAATCCATCCCTCCCCCGACATCCAGACACCCCAGGGTAACCATGTTTTAACTAAGCCTCTCCAGCATACACAAAATGGTACTTTCTCTGAATGGCGACAATCAAAACCATCTAGAATAAGCCAAGACAACACTGATGTCTGAGATACTCTCAGAGGCTAAGCAAGCCAGGCCCGGACACCGCAGGGCACATCCACACGCCCCCGACAGGTGCCTGTTAGCAACCTGCCCGAGGCTAGGCTGACTTCTGACCCAGCAAAGAAGACACTCTGGAGACAGAGGTTCAACTCCAAAGTGTCGTTGACTCATCCCTGACCACGGACCTGTCATCTCTAGGTGAGAGATGGATACGGTGGAGGAAAAGGAGGGAGAAGGTGACCAGAGGAGCTGGGCGCCCAGGAGCTGTCCCCTCCAAGCACAGTGAAGCATCAGCCACGTTGAGGAGAGGAGTGTGGCCCAAGTTCAAGCCGGCTCTCTGTGGGAAGCAGGCTCGACGGCTGGCCAGAGCCTTCCATTTGCTGTCTCCGCACTACACCCTATTGAAATCTCAGTTCTGAAACTCAGACCCTTTTTATCTACCACTCTCTACTACAAAAAGGCATCCAGGCCCGTCCTTAGGGGACAGTTAAAAAAAGTCATCAGATGCCCACATACTGCTCTTCCACTTGGGAAAAAGTAACCCCCTTCATTTTGGAGAAGAAAACAAACGAAAACCTGGTCACCCAGGAATCCACGAGGCAGGCAGGCAGACGGCGGGCAGGCTGGCGCGGGGCACTTACCTGAACTTCCCGGTCCGCACCTGCAGCGCTCTCATCCCACACCGCTGGGCACCGCTGACGTCACCCACGATGTCGTCCCCGATCATGATGGCCTGTCGTGCAGTGAGTGAAAGGCACTCAGAAGTGATGTCAAGACAGTTTTCTTCCTGTGCTGCCTCATCTTTTTTGACATAATAAACCTCTTGACTTCATGCTTAAAACCACCACCATACAAAGGAAACGAGGTAGTATCGTCATCATATCGATTAAAAGTCAATGTACTTGAATACATCTCCCACTGCCCATCATGGGCTGCGGCTCTGAACGGTGCATATCTGGGCAATTTAAAATCAATCAGCGGGTATTAAAGTGATATAGTGCCACCAGGACACACGGGGAGGCTGACGCTATCTCACCTCTAGTCGAGCACAGGCTGAATTTTACCTTCAGCTAAATACTCTGTAACCAGGTTATTTTGCCAACCGTTGGTTCTGTGAAAACTAAGTAAATTTCTGGCAAATCTTTGCAGTCCAAGTTTAGGTTTTGCTTTCCATGCTGAATTTACTACCTATAAAAAGCAACAACCAAAAAAAAAAAGAAAAAAGAGCAAACAAAAATACACACTCACACACACACACACACACACACACACACACACACATGAAATGCTCACAGCCTGGATATCATTTCAAAAAGCAGCCCCTCCCGCCTGAAACAACTAGAGAACCAGACAAACCAAATGCAATAACAGTTTTCAAGACACTGGACATCAGGCAATGAAGGAGGATTCCTGAGACACAGGAAACCAATGACATGGATCCTACAAATGCCGCAGCTCACTGCCTTCAGAGTTTCCAGACTGTGAGCACAGACAGGAAGAACTAGGTACAGCCCAGACTCACTGAATTGAGGACACGGAGCTAAGAGCTGGGAGATTAAGGAGGGGCGCCCGAGAAGAGAGGGCTACCCGGAGAACTGTGGAGCTCTACAGAGGGTCCCCCCGAATGATGCAGTGTTGGGTAGACTGCTAATGAGCACAGGCAAGTGAGGAAACCACCCGAGGCCAGGGAAAGAATCACACCAAAGATTAAAACAGTGCCGGGACCTCACACAGGGTTGGGTTTAGTGTCTGTTCCCACCAGCCAGACTGCAAAATCTCCTAATTCACAGGGCACTGAGTAGCATTCTCAGAACTGTCTTGCCTCAGCAGTGAGGAAGAATTAGCCCTGGACTAAACCCTGCTCTGCCTCCCAAACCTTCAAAGCAAGATCTGGAAGGGTCAAATTGTTTCCAAGTGATTTAACTGCATCCCAGAAGAAAACACAAAAATATTTATTGGCGTATAAAAATATCTCGCACTCACGAAAGGTACAATTCACAGTGTCTGGCATCCAATTAAAAAAATAATCAGACGTGCAAAGATGACAGATATCACACACAGCGAAGAGGAAAATCAACCAAAACAGACCTGGAACGGACACACATGTGGGAATTAGCAGACAAGGGCATTAAATCCGTTACTGTAACTGTATTCCACACGTTCCCAAAGTTAAGTAGAGAGACATGGAAGGTAAAAGAAAAGATCCAAACCAAGCTTCTAGAGGTGAAAACTACAATGTCTGGACTGAAAAAAAAAAAAACAAAACACTGGATGAGATTAAATCCAGATTAGACAATGCAGAAAAAAGATTTATGAACTTGAAGACACAGCAATAAAAACTATCCAAAATGAAACACAGGGAGAAAAAATAATTTTGTGTGTGTGTGTGTGGTACGCGGGCCTCTCACTGTTGTGGTCTCTCCCGTTGCGGAGCACAGGCTCCGGACGCGCAGGCTCAGCGGCCATGGCTCACGGGCCCAGCCGCTCCGCGGCACGTGGGATCTTCCCGGACCGGGGCACGAACCCGTGTCCCCTGCATCGGCAGGCGGACTCTCAACCACTGCGCCATCAGGGAAGCCCCCAGAAAAAGTAATTTTTAAAAAATGAACAGAGAAACAGTGAGCTATGACAAAACTTCCAACAGCCTGGTGTAACTGGAGTCCCAGGAAGCAAGATGAGAGAGGGGGAGACAGAAACAATATTTGAAGAAATAATGGCTGAAAAATTTCCAAGGTCAACAAAAATGACAAATCCGCAGCTCCGAGATCCCAATCAGTACCAAGCACAAGAAACATGAAGAAAACGGTATCAAGGCACAACATAATCAAACCGCTCAAAGTCAGCGACAAGGAGAAAATCTTAAAAACAACTGGAGGGAAAAAAAAGACATGTACAGAGAGAAACAAAGATAAGACATCAGATTTCTTGTTGAAAACATGCAAATGAGAAAACAGTGGAACACCGCCTTGGTACTGAAAAGGGGGGAAATGCTTACCTAGGATTCTATATGCAGCAAAATTATCTTTCAGAGCAAAGATGAAATAAAGACATTTCCAGATATCTGAAGCTAAAAGACTTCATCACCAACAGATCCACACACAAGAAATGTAAAAGGAAGTTCTTTAGGCAAAAGGAAAATGGTACTTAAATGGAAATATGGATCTACACAAAACGGAATGGACAGCACCAGAAAGGGTACCCATGGGCACAGGGTGACCTTTCTGCCGCTTCCCTCTGTTCTTCTACTGGCCAACTCCTAACAGTCTGTCTGGACTCAGCTCAGGTGACCACCACCTTTCAACCCCCGGCTGGGTTTGGGGGGGTCCCCAAAACATTCTGTGATTACTCCCTTGAATTGCATACACCTCCTGTGTTATAATGGTCCCTTCACTTATCTCTCTCCTCCAAAACTGTGTGAGTTCCTTGAGGGCAGGCTCTGTGCTGATCCCGGAGCTCAGCTGATGACCAACACGAGTTTGTTGAGTGAATCAGTGCTCTGAAATAAGGCATGGCTGTGCATGTCTGGAGATACTTAGGAGGTCCAGCCAATAGAACTGCTCAGTGTTCACCAACCAAACGAGCGGGAGTGGGTGGCATAGTCCGCATCCGTGTTGCCAAAACTTTAGTCACTAGTGGGTGCCCATTCGACATATCAACCTGTATTAATATTACTGTTTAAATTGATTCATAATCTTTACATAAATAAATGTGCTTCTTTTAAGAAAAAAGGAGCAGCCTCCCTGACTCAACTGCCACACTGATTAAAAGAAAAGCTTCAAAATATTTTCAGGAAACGATCCTGCTAGCGGAAGAAAAGTCTAATGCCTCAGACACCAAATGCATTCCAGATACGCTCCCAAGTCCGATCAGAAATGTTCTTGGTGGGAGGTCAGACAGGCCTGACAAACCGGGCTCCCCGTAGCAGGGTGAGTGTCCTGATGTTGATGGGATAGAAGCTTTGAAACTGACAGTTATTCCACAACTTTCCTCTGGAATTCAGATGCTAGGTAGGGCTAACCAATGAATAAATACATAAACCGAAACCAAGAAAACTAAAAATGGTGACCATGGACTTCCCGGGTAGCACAGTGGTTAAGAATCTGCCTGCCAATGCAGGGGACACGGGTTCGATCCCTGGTCTGGGAAGATCCCACATGCCACAGAGCAACTAAGCCTGTGCGCCACAACTAGTGAGCCTGTGCTCTACTGCCCGCGTGCCCCAACTACTGAAGCCTGCACGCCTAGAGCCCGTGCTCCACAACAAGAGAAGCCACCACGATAAGAAGCCCACGCGCAGCAACAAAGAGTAGCCCCTGCTTGCCACAACTAGAGAAAGCCCACGTGCAGCAACAAAGACCCCATGCAGCCAAAAAAGAATGAATTAATTAATTTTTTTTTTAAAAAGTGATGACCGTGAAGCATTTGCAAACCAGGGGACTCTTACACATTAATTTGCACTCTGCCTGTGAGGAGAGGAGTCCAGATGGAATTTGCCTTCCAGCTCGGAGTGGGAGGGGTGGGGGGCAGTGAATCCAGAGGCAGGCCCTATGCGACCAGCAGAATGGACAGACTGAGCTCAAGTCGCAGACGCGGCCAGAGCAACTGGGCCTGAATCCCAGCTCTGCTATTTGCTAGCCCTGTGATCTTGTGATCCACTTCAGTCTGTAAAATGGGTACAATTGGTGTGGTGTTTAAACAATCACGTAAGTTAAGCATCAAGGACAGTGCCTGGACGTAATAAGTTATCTATACATGTTTAAAAGGAAAAAATATTAGGAAATGTTCTGTTGAGGAAACTCCTAATCTAACCCTATTGGAGACAGTCCACAGTCTTTACGACAGGGCTCCAGTGCCTCAGCTCCTTTGTATCAGGTCCTCTATAGGCCAGGCAGTGGGGACACAGTGAGTCAGAAACACAGTCTCCACCTTTGTGAAGCTCCCAGTGGAAGGCAGAAGACGGATGTTCATGAGGTAATTTCACAAACACAGAGCCAGGACCTGTGATAATGCACAGGGAGGAAAAATGCAGGAGGCTGTCAGGCCTAACCTTGTGGGGCTGGTGGTGGTCAGGGAAGCCTTCCTGGAGGAGGTGAGGTTTTGAGCTTGGATCTGAAGAGCAAGAGGGGTCAACCAGGTTAGGGGGTATAGGGGAAGGGGTGAGAGCCTTCTCCGAAGAAGACACCACATGTGTGTTAATCCTCTACCAGGGCAGGCCACACACGAATTCCCAAAAGCACAGCCATTAAGCCTGAAGCACATGTCCTCGGAAACATCTCCCAAATAACGAGGAATCATGAGGAGCTTGTGGACGAGGACAAAGACTGAGCTGGTGCGGCCCCAGATGCCAGGGAGGTAGTTTCAGGCAAACACGAGGCTTTTCTAACAATAAGCATGGGCTGCCTCGGAGGTACCAGGCCCCTGTCACTTAATCACATTCCAGCAGAGGAGCTACTGGGGGACACTGGCCCCCCGGGGAGCTTGAGCAGGTGGCTGATGACCACCAGGGCTGAGAATTCTGCCAACTGCTGGGAGCCACCGCCCCTGAGAGACATACGAGGTACCTGAAATAAACTGTACTTTGTCCCAGTGAATCTTCTAAACTTCATACTTCTCACTAATTTCCTCTGGTCTTTCCTCCACCTAAACCCATGTTTCCCAATGTGTGTTATGCATACTGGTGATATGCTATTTGATTTTAGGTAAAACAGGACATAACTTTTTTTTTTTAACATC